AAACATGGGATTTACAGAACAAAACTGCCCAAAAGTGGTGGTTATATTCTGTAAATTAGGATAACCCCTCTATTTGGTAATCAGAATAGGCAAGTGACTGAAGCAATTGCACTTCTCCACATTCCTTAAGACTGGTCATCCTGGTTAATGTCTCAAAATTGTCACACAAGTGACATTTTTAATTTTTGAAACAGGAGAGGTTAGTTAGACTATCTCTCTTTTTAGTAAATGCCCAGATTGCTGCACCCTAGGTAAACTGTGACATGTGGGCTGAGTCTGAAATGCTGCATACTTTAGGTGTTTTGTAGAAGACAGTAAATTGAATACAAAATTTCTTTAGCTGGGCAACAATAACAGGATTTCACAGGACTGTACCATTTGGGTATACAGCATTCCTTGGGCTCCATTACTCTGTGCCTCCAACAATCAGCCCTTAATTCTGATCTGTGAGCATACTCAGATTGATTTTAATTAATCTGATTCATACTATATTAATGCTCAATTCATCAGTGCATTTCAATATGCATAATAATACTAATAATAGATCTGGACTTAAATTTTAAATAGATCTTAGTTATGATGCAGACTGCATGGCAGAGGGCCAAGTGTGAAAACTGGGACTGAATAAGCCAGCCTTGACAAAAATTAAGATCCAAATTTTAAAAATACATGTTCAGGAATGGTAGGTTCAGGGATATTACTGGCTCACATTCTGATACATAACATACATTCTGATGTGCATTTATTTTAAATTAAATTGAGACAAAATTCTATGCATGAGGAAATGGATCAAGCCCATAAGATTTGGTTCTATGTGATTTCTTTCAGGCTACAATAAACATTGCTGACTCCAAAATCTTCTCATGAACTGTGAGCCTGGAAACTAGAATCATGGCCAATTGTTCACTTCACCTGAGATTGCTTGGGTTGATCTCCGAGGCTTTGGGTCAGAGACATTTTTGGCCAATAGCTCTTCACCACAGTTGCAGATCTGACCACACTGTATACCTGTGCTTGAATGTGTTCAAATTTCATAAATAAACTGCAGTTAGAAGAAACCCATATTCTTTGGCAGTTAATAGATGCTAAATTACTGCAATCTGCTTTTTTTTGTTGTTAGTTTAATGGTCAATTCCAACAAATAGATGAATCTATTAATTAACTGCAAATAAATTATTTCACTTTTCCATAGCTTTGCATTCTACCAGGCTCCCTATATCCTGTTATTTCAGGCTGTGGCCTTGATGTGCCATAGAATATATAATTCATAGGGACACTATCAGATGTACAACAGCAAAATAAGGATCTGGGGAAAGGAGAGCTCCCACTTTGATGACATGTAATTATTTTGGATAGAAAACTGCTACAGGCAAAGTCTGATATGATTCCATTAACCATGGGCAGGCATACCCATTCTTGAGGGAAGACAGTCTACTGTCTGGAGGAGTGGATTAACTTTGGTTTTGAGCTCTCTATTGACAGTGACCTCATGCAACCCTTTTGAATGATAACTGTGAGAGAAAAGCAGAGAATTACTAAGCCATCTTTCAGGGACCTTTAGCAGGCTTGACTCATTGATATCAACATTGCCTGTAACGTTCTGGAATATCACAAAGGGACATAACAATAGGGATGTGAGGAAGCAGAAAGAGTAGCATTGCTCCACAAAGAAGGATGAGCTAGGAGCTGACATTAGCACAGGTTGTGCTCTCATCCACAGCTCTTGCTGCTCCTAATGACACACTATCTAAAGTCTCAAAGTTAGGTATGTTCTCTGTCAAGCTGAATTTCTACCTGTTGGCAGCTGATGGCTGCTTGTTGTCATTACAAAAATTGCTTTTTCTTGAAAAGTTTCTTTTTGAGGTTTTTGTTGTTCTCAGCTCTGGTTTGTTTTGTGTTTGGTTGTTGCATTGGTTTAGGAGCAAGGTTTTTGTTTGTGCCTTTGTGTTAAGAACAATAGTATCAGTTCCTCCTTATCACTACTCAAAATGCCTTATCTGCTATGTGACATTTGTTCATTTTACAGCCACATCACAACAGTTACACCATTAGCCCATGATTGACTAGTGCACCCTATTTTGTTCTCCATCCTTTTCAGTAGATGCAAACACAGTTTATAATGGAAATTGTTGTGATTATTCACTAAGCACATGACCTTGCACCCCATGTAGTTACACACATCCATTTCTATTAGCTCACTCATCAAAATTCTTCCTTGCCTTCCATATTCTGATTCTCTGCTGTATTGATGATGCCTCTCAGCTTTGTGTCAACAGCTAATTTAATTTACATGTTCTTCCTGTTTATATAAAGGTCGCTAATGAAAAATTTAGCAACGTGTGTCAAGAGCAATCCCTGATGTTTTGTACTAGTACCCTCTTCTCACCGGGTCAGTTGATAATTTCATAGAAAATTGAGGTTAGGAGAGACTTCAAGAGGTCCATTAGTCCCTTGTTCAAAGCAACCCTGATAGCAAATCTGGATCAGGTTGCTCAACCCATAAAATATCTTTTCAAGATGTCAGCAGTTGTTTCATTTCTATCTAATTTCTTGGGAAAACCTGAATCTTTTTAAGTTCCCCTTTTTTTGGTCATCTTTTCTATATTAAAAACAGTTCTCATTTGGCACTTTATTTAGATGTCTACCAAAACACAACAATCATAGATCTGTGCTGCTTAATTTCTCTGGTACTGTTTTTATTGACTTCCCTTTTGCTAGTAATTCTGAATATCTAAAATGGGACTTTGCCCTATCCAGTGGTATGGAGGTTTCTTTCATATTTCCATTTTCTCTAGAGATTATAAGAATTCAAGAAATGGAAAATATGGGCCTCTGAGAACTCAAACTACTCTAATTTCTTCCATCAGTCAAATCAGGTGACATAAAATTGTAATTTTAATATCTATATTAATTATTTTTCTCTCTCCTTCCTACAATGCTACAGTCATATGATCTATCCTTAAATGAAATTTCCTGTTGCCACACAGGAGACTAGGTTTCCCATTCTTGAGATTCTTTGTAAGTCAGTTGGAACCTACTAGGAACTTAACACCCACACACAACAGTGTTATCCAAATACATCATTTCTCACACTTCCTTGGAGTTCAGTGTTTTGACAGAATCTCAGGTACCTATTTTGGCAATACAGGATCATTTCAGAGAAAATATTGATGGTGGGAGAAAAAAAAAAAAACAAACAAAAAAAACACCAAAAAAAAAGCGCCTTTCTGACCACTATCCAACAGCGGATAAAGAAGTTTATAGTTTGGACCGTGCTTCCTACTGACCACTGAAACATTTGTCAGTGCATCAGGCAGTTCTTCCACTAGTATAAACACCTCCACAGCAGATAAAGTTTATGCCTATCAGTAGCCAAACAAAGATGCCACTTAACGAAGGCCAAACTATAATTGCTGTGCACAGCTAGTGAGGGTTCAGACAGCTTGAAAGAACAGCAATGAGACCAGAAGACTTTCATCTTTATGTCACTGATGCAACTAAATGTAGAAGAGATCAGTGATGATCAAAGTCTTCTGAAAATGCCTCATAAGAAACTGGTGGTGCAAGCTGCACTGTTTTACTTGAAGATACAAGGGTGAAGCTGCAGTGGCAGAACCTGGTCAGATTTAATCCTACTTGGTGACATCAGTAGTAGGGTTTTTTAAGATAAAGATCATAAACTACGTGCAAAGTAGGAATAATAATGTGTATTAAATGGAATGAGAACACGGCTTTCTCTTCTTAGATGTGTAGCCCAAGTTTTTAAGAAATGTAGTTTGAACTTGACATCAAACGCAGATTTTATGGGTCTTTCATGAAACCCACATTTACTAGTATTATCCTTATTGATGTTAGAGTTCTGCTTTTGGGAGTCCACTGCCAGCCTTTTGGATTTCCATTTTTCTAAGAGCTTTGCAATGGATCACAATCCCTGGGAGCCACCAGCAGAGGTGGTTAATGCTCAAATTCCACTGCAGTACAAATTTAGAAGGAGCTGAGAGCTGAGGGAAACAGGAATTTTGACTCTGCCATAGGGTTGGGGCAGAGCCGAAATATTTCCCAGCACAGCAGTAGGAGGTAAGCTCGTTCCTACTTGCTAAATCATCTGCTTGCTTAATGCCAAAACCAGGCAAGCAGACAAAGCACTATAAAAATAGTAGAAAGCAATATGGAAAAAACTGCTACAAATACGATAAAAATTACCTGTAACTGGGTGCAATCACAGACATGGAGGCAATGGAGCATGGACAAGATGCTTATCTTGCCTAAATTGCAAGCATCCAGGCAACAGAATTAGGTTACTGTTTTCTACATAGCTAGAGGTGCCCGTGCACCAGCAGGCACAAAATGGGATCCATGAATCTCTTTAGCCATCAGGCAGGAGTGAAAGATCATTCAAACACTGGGACTTGGGGTAAGCAAACAGGTACAACGTCAAACTATGTCAAACATTTCTTCAATGGATATTTTGTTCTAAATCAAAGCATATTGCCAACTAATAAGGTAAACACAATATAGTTCAGTTAGGAAGTAGGTTAAAGCAGCTGTTCATTTACTTTCTCAGTGTCAGGAACAGGAACTCAGCAAGTTCCTTGAACTCGGCATTCTCTTTTCTTTCAGCTTTATATACATGCCTTCACAATCTCCTACTGCATTTTTTTCCCCCTGCATACTGCAGGCAATAACTATGAAACTCTTTAATTTAACAGTATGTTCTTTGTCCTGCAATTGTTCCTGTTTTGCAACCACATAGATTATATGTATGGGCCTGTAGGAATAGTCAAACAGTTAATAAGGGTAGGGTTTGGCATGCTTCACTATGTACAAATTCTACAATCAAGTCCTGACAGGAAAGCTCTGTATCTTCTGTGGTTCCCAGTCCTGAGTAAAATATGCAAAATATCACTACTGGGAATGATACCTATTTCCCAGAAAGTTGCAATACCAGTTTTTTCTTATCAATGCATCATTGAAACATATTTTGTTTACAGTTTATGCCATTTATTTTCCCAGGCATATTAAGTTTTCAGAAATGATCCATGGCTCATTGTGCCTGTCAAAGGTACAGAGGTGCTATTTCAAATTTCATTACACCCTTAATGCAGTATAAATGAAAGAATTACAGAGAGAGCTGTACCAGATAACTGTATTAACCCCTGAGGTTAAACGTCCATCCACACGATTCCTTGGATTTTATGGTTTTCTCTTCAGCTCCTTTACCTGGGGGTAGTGTACATCCTTCAGGCAGGCAGAAGTGCAACAGCACATCACCACAGCACAGGGGTACCACGGCCAGGATGAGAAGGTGTGCTCTGCAGAACAGATGTACAAACTCAATTGTGGATCCTGCTGATGAGTTGAAAACAAGAGTGAAATCCAGCGTGTTCCTCTAGAGGTATGTCAAGAGCAGCAGGAATACAAGAAGGGAAACACAGTAAACAAAAACCACTTTATTTGTATCTGATAAAGTAAATATTCATCAGTGTGAACACCTACAGAGCCCAGATCTGGAAGGTAAGGAAGTAATATCTTTGCATAATTCCTTTTTGGTCAAGAAAAGCATTTAAAACCCTTAATGTGGGCCTGGGCCTTGAACTTAGAGACTTACTGAAGCAGAATCTGAAGACAAAATTCAAACACAAATTTTCTTCTCTTTAAAAATTGCCTTTTAGAGGTAGAACCTCAAAAGACTTGGAATTCTTCCTCTGACCTCAGAAGACTTTAAAAAAAATAGCTGCTTACTTAAACCACTGGAATGCACAGGAGCAAGTTTTCTCATGAGGTTCATGGTCAGCATAAAACCAGAAGGGAAATAAAACCAGACAAACATTTTAGATGTCTACAAGGCAGAGATTTAAGTTTTAAAGAAATGTGAGAAATTGATTGTTTGGCTATGCTGTTACTTATATTTCAGATGGGAACCAAGTTCCAAACTCAGCAAGAGTAGTTCCCATCATATTGTCTGTCAAGGTCCATCCAATCTGCTAATCAGGGTGAACATGGTTTTTCAAAGGAGAAAAGTGCTTTCCTGTGATGCAGCGGCCTCTAATCCTGCCTGAGCTTGGAAAAACACCCTCACTGATTTCTTCTGCTAGCATTTAGTTAGCTTTGGAGCTCACTATATTTCCTGGCCAATTTTCCATGCTAATGGGGCCATCCACCCTGAAAATCATAAGCACTGAGGGGCAAACTTCATTCTGCTTTCAAAATTCTTCATTCTGCTTTTTTTCTCCTCACTCTAAGGAGAAGCAGTGAGGAACGAGAAGAAGCCTAGAGAAAACAGAAAAAGAGCCTAAAACAGAGCTTAAAATAGGTGGGAACAAGAGAGAGGCACCTCACCACAGAGTTCATGAGCCATCAGAAATGATGGTGCAATGCTGTTCTGCAGTCCAGCCAAGGAGACGGATCAAAGTTTTCTTCTTTGGGAAGAGCCAAGCTCTCCCAGCTTCCTTTTGCTTCAGGGACAGTCCTGCTCACTGCAAAAGTCTTCTCCAGGAGCTCACCAAGTCATTGCACTCTTGGCAGTTTTTCTGTAGGAGGGATGAAGAGGACAGTTCAAGGTGTTCTGTATGTTGTATTCAGCAATTCCTCTGCCCCCTAAAATGCAAGAGTGTGGACAGGAGTAACCATCTCACCTCTCTCCCCATGATTTGAGTGCATCTGATATGGGATTTTCACAGATGCCATGTGCTCCTGAATCTTTGCCACCTGTGGGGAGACCAAGTCTCCACCCCTGTGCTAAGCCCTCTCCCCTTTGGGCTTGGCAAAGGACAGGTATTTTTCTCACAACAAGTCTCCAAGAATTCAGAAAAGCAGCATCTATGTGCAGTGCCATATCTCCCAACTTCCCTAGACCTGCTGCCTAATTAAGCCTGCTTCACTCCTATGCCCCAGGAAGTCTAGGGTCATTAAGCCAGAGCTAGCTGCTGTTCTTGCCAAAAATGCAGTCCTTTGTGCCAGGGGCCATAGACAGTAGTAGAAAGTTACACCTCCTGGCTAATACAGTGTTTTATTCAGTATGGACTATTGTTCTAGCTCAGTGGTGTTTAAAGAGTTAGCTTATCTCTCACCAAAAATTTGTTTTCCTCTGGATAGATCTGTTACATAAATGAGCATATTTGCCCATAGCACCACAAGACACAGATATTTTTACTTTTCTCTCCATTCAAAATTACATAATCACTAGAGCTAAGCACTTTTCCCACTAGTACATTTCTCACTGTGCACAAGGATTGTAGTGATACTCAGAATCAGGCTAACACATAAAGCTATCATCCATGATTGCTTTAAAAACAATGTCCCCAGGGTACTTAAATGCATTTACTTCGGTCACTCAAAGGTCCTAGAAATAGGAAGTAAGCAAGCACTGCCTTTAGTGTTTTCCCTCTAGAAGGCAAATCAAAAGAACTCACCAAATTACAGATATAAACAGTAGACCTTATCTGCTTATATTGTTTGGCTGACTTCCAAGTACTTAGACTTAATATTCCCAACAGTTAGAAATATTGTTATCTGTAAAGTGCCATGGACATTTATGGTGCTATATAAATGCATGTTATTAATTAGTAACTACAATATTTAATGCCAACATTTTAAACATTTACATGAGCAGCATCATGAACGACTGCACTCCTCGTTTTCCCGGAGCTCATAGTACAATCAGCAACACCAGTCAACCACAGTGAAAGACCTCTCTGGACATGACATAGTCTGGGGGACAGCCTTCCCTCTTCCCACATCCCTCCCTATTCTGTAGTCCTTCAAGCATCAGTCTTTGAGTCATGGCTGCTCCTATTGCTCAGAAGCTGAGCCCCAGTCACAAGCCACAAGGGCCTGGTTTCCAGGTGTGCTTAGCCCCAAGATGTGACTCAGTTCCAGCACCCACAGTTTCTCCCTGGAGCAAGTTGTGATCAATGGTCTAGGCAGTGATCAGAAACCTATTTATGCAAACTATTGTTTATTTAGTACTAAGAACAAAGCGTTCAGAGACAAAAGGATTTCAGAACAAGTAGGCTTAAAAATCTTTCTGTTCCCCAAGGCTACTGTGCAAAGTAGACCTCTCATTCTTTGAAATGTGCTCTTCCTACAGCTAATAGTTCTCACAGCAGTCAGTCTCCTAAGAGAGTGTTTACTTTGAGCCATATACTTAGACTCTCATCCTTAATATTCAGAATAAAGCACTTCCATCTGAAGATGCATCAGTGATAATTAACAATACATTGTATTAACACGTGGGATTTGATTCTGCTTGGTGGAGTCAACAGTGAAATGCTAAATTCATGAGAATACATTATTGGCTGGCTACAAAAATGTTGCACATGGCCACAGAGCACAAATTCATCTGCTAGATTGTGGACTATTTACTTTTTCTACCATTTTCCCTCACTTGAGCTGTAGTATCCAACTGTCTCCATCTGTTTTATAAATTGACCAGCAACAAATCATCCACCAAATTCTCACCCAACACCAAGTTCTAGGTAGCAGATCCTACACTAAGCAGGACAAAGAAGACCATGCTGAGATGTCTTCCTTGAAAACTGAGATTCAAGATGTTATCTCTTAGCCAAGTGATTCCCCTTTGCCTAGAGGCACAAAGCATAGGTCTGTCAGGAGTATTGACTCTCCATTTTTCCAGGTTCTTCATCCTGTTCACACCTCAGCTTTCCGTATAACACACATAAAATCCAGCCCCTCACTGAACAGAGCCTTTTCACAAAGAGCCCTTTCAAACTCTGCAGCAGCCCACTAGGGAGGCCTCCATGGTAAGGCAGGTGGTCTAGCAAAGCCTCAGAGAAGTCTGTTAATTACTATCAAGGAACGTGACCACAGGATGAATAAATGGTGGAAAAGGAAGAAGGAAACTTGAAAAGATCAGAGGCATGTGATGAAGAAAAAAAAGAGAGTCCTGAGAGGAGCAGATTCTGTGATTCTATGATTCTGTGATTCTGTAATTCTGTGATTCTGTGTGATTTTTGCAAAGCCTTTGCCTGCTAACTGTACCAACCCTGCAGCATATGTGCAGTACAAGGGGGCTGTGAAGACCTTTTCCTTCAGTTCCCACCAAGCTTTTGGGCCTTTTTGATCTCCTTGCTTCCTCTCCACCACCTCCTTGGACTGTTTGCTTCACCCTGGTGCCTGAGGGCTCGGATTCTCCACATCATTCACAGCCTTTGTATTGGGCCCGTGACAGGTACTACCTGTTTAAGTGGAGAAGAAATGGGAGGAAAAGTAATATATGTATAATAAATCACAATGAACTTACAGGATTTTGATTGTGCAAGAGGAGAGTTCATTCAACAGAGCTTGTAAAGTTATGATACCATGGCAAATTGAAGAGAGAGGATATATATTTGCCTAATCCTGGTGTAACCAAGATTTATCCTAGAACAAAATGTTTCCCTAGCATTGTCAGCTCAAGGTTCTATTTGTAGAGTCACGAAGTCTCATGCAGATTGCATGATGGAGTTGCATAAGATAACTTCAATGGAGTCAGCTTTTTCTGAGGTGTAATACATATATGTCAGATTAATTTTAGCTAGATGAAAGGTACATTTTTGGCAATGGCAAGCAAGAGTCCCAGAGATCTAGGCTGGTGGAGACACGGACATGGTGATAAGCAAAGGCCAGTGCACAGAGAACACTTTGGGGCAGAAGGACATTTGTGTACTTTCAAGAGATTCCCTGCAGATATTATAAAAAGGGGAGGGGTTTACAAAACTGACAAGCGGGTAAAACCATTCCAACTCATGGGGGGAATAACATTGAGAACAAACCATTTAAATTAATAATCAGAACAAAATGAACAGGCGGCAACAGAGAACCATGAGAAAATAAAACCGCACTTTTTCCAGGAGGAAACAAAAAAATAAAAAAAATAGGATGCTCAGGGAGTCAGAAAATGTATAAAGTTCTGGACAACTTGTGTCTGTTAGCTGCATGCTGCAATCACAAAACAAAATGGCTTAAGGAGTGGTTTTGTCATGATGTCCTAGGGTTTGTTTGGATGGCATAATGTGATTCCAACACATTTCTCAGATGCCTGAACATATTTATCTTGGCCACTCTGTGCTAATCACCTACATGTTTACTGTAGGCCCTCAGCACAAACTATAGATACAATAATTCCAGCCTACAGTTTTCCTGAAAACAGACAAGGTCCTTTTAAAATAATGTTGACACACATGGTGCCCAAGACTGATTGTAGTCAGCAAAATGTTCTAGAGACTAGTCAGCATGTATTATGGAGAGTATTCAGAAAATTAAAAAAAATCCCTTTGGATTAGTATGCAAAATCTAGCCTGAGTTTTGGAAAGAAGGCAAAGAAAACAAATTAAACAAACAAATAAAGGAACCAACAAGGAAAGAAGCCAAGAAAGAAAAAAATAATAAAAAAAATAGAAATAAAATAAAAAAAAATCTTCAGGTGGAGAAAAGAAAGTATTCTAGTCCTTTTCTGTCTCAAAGATAACTAATTTCAAAATCAATCTCAAAATTATAGAAGCTTTGAAAACTCATTACTATTTTTGTCAGCCAATGGCTTCCAGTTTTGACTATACTGATCTGACAAGGGTGTGAAATTCTCTTCTGGAAGACCCCCCCAAATTCCTGGCTTTCAGGTCATTAAGGCAGTAATTCAGGGCTGCATTGTTTTTAATCCCCAGTGCAGTTTAATCTCTTGTGCAGTCTACCCATATATCTCAAATATATTGCACCTCGAAAATAAATCCTGGAGGATTGGCACCCAGAGATATTTGGCACAAAATTACCTGTGGAGCAGCACAGGAGGAGAGACTGAGAGGAGCAAGAACAAACTGAGTGAGAGAAGGGGGTCAGAGGTAGGATGTCTGCCCAGTGAGGGGCAGGAGGAGGGAGATTATCTGGTACAGAGACAGGTCTTGATAAGCTTGTTTTGTTACACACCTATCATATATGTTACTAAAGAGCATCTTTTGGCTTGAATGGTTTTTTTTTATATATTACAGGTAGGCCAAAATTCTACATGTGGAAATTTCTCCTGTGGCCAATGTTGTAGTAAGGACTCTCTGGTTGATGGTTTGAGGAGAGTAGGTGCATCTATAGATAGGTATAAAGCTCTATATAGCCTTTCTACCCCTTCTTCACTGGGACAGACTCCCAAGGTAGTGCTATTTTTACCATGTAGTACACTTAATTTTTGTTAGCTTACTCAGTTCCAGAATTTCTTCCTTGCCTAGAGCTTTTATCTGTGAACTCTCACTCTGCCCCCAATCAAAATGTCATTTCAATAAATGTTTACACTCCATATACAGAGAAAATTATGTTTTGGTTACTGGTGAAACATTTCAGTACGTAAACAGTGCTCTCAAAATGTGTTGTCTTCCAAAAGCATAAATATGTTCTATTTTCCTCCAACTCTGTCTGCTGGAATATCCACGCAGAAAAATACCTTGTTAATGTGTGAAAAATTATTATCATACAAATAAACACATTTCTCTTTGTTGGCAATAGCAAATGTTCCTGTTTTACATGTCTGTACACAAGGAGAGAATTTTAGCTTTCATTTCTACCATTTATGTTATTTTACTCTTTCTACTGCTTAACAGACTGATCCATCATCCATCTATCTATCTATCTATCTATCTATCTATCTATCTATCTATCTATCTATCTATCTATCTATCTATCCATCCATCCATCCATCCATCCATCCAT